CAGCTGGTTTTGGTTGTCAGCAGCAAAACTGGTTGATCCACTCTGAGACGGTGCTATTTAAGAGACTGATCAGCTGGTTTTGGTTGTCAGCAGCAAAACTGGTTGATCCACTCTGAGACGGTGCTATTTAAGAGACTGAGCTGAAAACAGCTCCTCAGACTGAGGAAGTCTCTCGGATGAGAGACGAAACGTTTCTACATTTTTTTGTTGATTTGCTTTGTTTTGTTTTTTTGAATATCCAGAGGACCAGATTTAACTTTTTTAGAGCTTTTGAGATGTTAATCAGCTGCTGTTGGTTGTAGAAAACTGCCTTGTTGCCATGGTTACGCATCATAACAAATGTCCAAAACTAAAAAAGTTTCAGTAAAAATCCTTCCAGCTGCCCAGCATCTGATACCAGAGGAAACAATCGTCCAAAAAATGTGATTTACATCCAGAAAAAGAGGAATTAAAGTTTCCAAAAGCAAAATCTCAGAATGAAATTAACAGAGCTGCTCCAACATGCAGCCGCCTTGAGCGGCGCAATTCTAGAACATGAATATGCAGAATATTACCCACCACTGCACCCTGTATTCACTGGTTAACTGGACATCATTAACTTCACGCAGACTCTCTCACTGGTACATTTTCATCTTTAAATCACTTCTTGGTTTGCTGCCTTCATACATCTCCTCCTTCATGTCTCTGCGTGAGTGCAGCTACAGCGTGCGCTCTCAGGACATTATTACCTGCAGTGTTCCCTCAGTGCGGACTGAACTAGGCAAAAGGGCCTTCTCCTACTCTGCTCCTGTTTCTTGGAATATCTTACAAAAAGATCTGAAGCTCTCGACCTTGACCCTCTCTAAATGGCTTTAAGAATCTGTTGGACTCCTGGCAAGGACCAATGCAGACATGTTCCTGTTTTTAGTTTTCTACGTTCGCCTTAGAATCTAGCTGTTTTTTGTTACTTTTCTTTTCTTTTTACTTTTCTTTTTTTTTATCCATCCTATTTGTTAAAAAAAAAATTGTATGACTTTTTACAACTGTTTATTGTTGTCGCTGTTGTCCATTGTGTCATCATTCTTTGTTGAAATCAGGTCTCTCTTGTAAATGAGTCCTCGAGGCTTAATGGGATTTACCTGTCTCAATAAAGGTTGAATGAATATAGAGTATGCAGTACACTCGAGTGTAGGAGCGGAAAAAAAAACTTAAATGCATTTTAAAATCGATTTATGGGCCTTTTAGAATCGATTCAGAATTGCCAGGACTGAGAATCTAGATTCTTTAAAAATATCTATATTTTCTGCAACCCTAGTGCTTAATGTAGACCAGTCATGGTTGCTGTGGTCCAGGTGTGGTTCTGCGGTTCCTGTGGTCCAGGTTGTGGTTCCTGTGGTCCAGGATGTGGTTCCTGTGGTCCAGGTTGTGGTTTCTGTGGCCCAGGTGCGATTCCTGTGGGCCAGGTGCGGTTCCTGGTGCAGTTGCTGTGGTCCACAAGTGGTTGCTGGGGTCTTTCCTGGTACATTTCAAACCTAACGGAACCCTCGGACAAAGACTGGTCCATCCTGAGGACAGAACCCCCAAACCCAAGATCACAATGTGGTGGCTGCAGTTCTGTGCAGTGAGGAATGTTCAGACCTCTTCATTGGAGAAACTAAACGTCTCCACAGACACACGGCTCAACACCGGTGAGCAACTCTCAGAACAGACTCAGCAGTCCACCTACACCTCAAGTTTTAGGGACACTGCTGAGGCCCATGTCCATGTTTGAGACCGAGAAGACAGATGGTTTGAGAGGAGGGTGAAGGAAGACATTAATGTCAAATCAGAAAGAAAAAATAAACATAGGTCTCAGTTTTTAAGCTTTCTAAAACCTTCGGTGCAGCCTTGAGCCTGGTCCTCAGTGGTTTCACTCTTTGTCTTGCAGGTACCTTCCCATGAAGGATATTATGTGTATGGAGTGTCTGTCCAGAAAGCTTCGGGAGGCTGTGAGTCTGTACTTGCGAGTGATCAAAGTGGTGGATCTGTGCGCCGGTCGCTGGTGGGAGTACTTGCCACCAGGTAGGGTTCACACACTTTACACAATGATAAATTTACATCTGAGTGACTTTTTTTTATACAACTTCAAGGATTCAAGGTTCTTTATTGTCAGTCGCACCACATGTGGTACATGTGGTGGAATGAAATTGTGTACACAGGGTCCCAGTTACATCCAACAAAAGTATAAAATGTAAAAGGAAAAACTGTAATAAGATCTAAGATATGAACTAAGAAAAATGTTAACTAAAAATATGCTAAACACTAGTAGTACAAAAACAATACGTCGAATAGCAGCAAGAACATGAGTCTGTGTGAGCAGATGAGTATGAATGAACACATCAACATGAAACAGATCAGCAGCAACATGAAACAGATCAGCAGCAACATGAAACAGATCAGCAACAACATGAAACAGATCAGCTGCAACATGAAACAGATCAGCAGCAACATGACATAGATCAGCAGCAACATGATGTGATTTTTCACAGTGATTATTCTGATTAGAGATTCATGAGTCCAACAGCCTCATGGTAGAAGCTGTTCCTCAGTCTTTAAAGTTGTAACTAAAATGGTTATTTAGTTGGTTTCCCAGTATTCATGTCCAATTTGATTAATACCCATTGTTCAGTTTAGTTTATTTATTGTCATTATGGGCACTTCATGAGATATTTTGCTAACAGACAGGCACTAGCAAAAACATTGTCACTTCCCCTTTGGCTGCAGGTGGTAATGAAATGACCACCACATGTGTAGGCTGTATTTTGACCCATCCTGTTCTGTGTAAAGGTGAGATACTGTTTGTAAAAATGTCTTTAAGGTGCGGAGGGACATTCAAGAGCTTTCTCAAAATGGCTCCATAGTTTGGTCCCAAAGACGACTCCCTCCAGTTGTTGGATTTCACTGTGGAAGCACAGAGGGTGAGGGGTGTATCTGCAGAGCAGAGCTAACACACAAAACTCACTTTATTTATTCTTTTTTTTTTAGCTTGCGGTATTGAGTCACATCTCCATTTTTGGGGACTGCCTGAAGGCGTGATGTGTGCTATTACTTTTTTTTGAGTTACCATGGCGACATAATTAACAAAGATGCCAATTTTCTCATTGAAAAACACTGAGAAAACTATTAATAGCCTTTAACAGCCACAGTGAGGTCACATGACCTAGAGCGAAGAGGTTTCTGAACAAAACACTGGGTAAATTTTGGAGCCATTTTGGACCAAGATGGCTGCCAAAGCTACAGAAAACTAAAAATTGGTTATAACTCAGTCATTCTTTGAGATATTTAGCTGAAATTTGGTATGGTCATAGCTGAGAGTGAGTTGTTATACATTCCTGATGCAAATCAAAAATCCAAGAGGGCTATCGTACCTTAAAAGAAAAAAATGACTAAGTCATTGATAGGTTTTTTTTTTTTTGCAACATTGAGTTGAAATTTAATATTATGGTAGACGAGAGCGAACCCCAACCCATAGTACTGTCAAATCAAAATTTTACAATGGCCGCCACGTGGCAGTACTCGTCAAAGTTTCTCTAAGAACTTTCTAGTTAAAACTAATATTGTACAAATTAATTATATTTTTAATTTATTTGGAAATCCAAGGTTTATTGTGGTCCTGTTGGCTTCATCGTGCTGTGATCTTCACCTCTCACTGGAGCAGTTTGCAGCCGAGTGTGAAGCGACTGGAATGAGAGTCAGCACCTCCAAATCTGAGACCATGGTCCTGAACCAGAAAAGGGTGGATTGCTCTCTTCAGGTTGAGGGTGAGGTTCTGCCTCAAGTGGAGGAGTTAAAGCATCTCAGGGTTTTGTTCACGAGTGATGGAAGAATGGAGCGCGAGATTGACAGACAGATTGGTGCAGTGTCTGCAGTATTGCGTACTCCGTATCGGTCCGTTGTGGTGAAGAGGGAGCTGAGCTGTAAGGCAAAACTCTGTTTACTGGTTGGTCTATGATCTTACCCACACCTATGGTCACGAGTTCTGGTAAGGATACTTCCTGGGTGCCTCCTGTCGTGGCTGGTTACCACGTCGTGTTCAAAACAGCTGAGACATCGCCCTCGGTATAAAAGATTTATATGACAAACAGGGGTTACAGATATTCAGAGACAAACAATTACATTACAGAAATATATGCATATATTTGGAGCATTAAAGAACGAACCGTCTCGGTGTGCGCCTCCCGGAAATGCTCGATGAGCGTGTGTCATTTCCGGCTTTTATAAAAGCTTGGAAAAGCTAGCTCCTCTGATTGGTTTAGCCCCTTCAGTTCCCATGGTTACTGGTTTAGCTCGCCCCCTGAAGGACGTTAGTTGAAAGTTTATGGCACACTGAAATCGTTCGTTTTAGCTGTTTGTTTAACGTGATTATACCTTAGTGATACCAAATGATTTGGGTTAAAGTTGTTTATTTCTAGGAATAATTAATAACTATTAATTGTTATCTAACTCATGTTTGCGTGTTCTTACTTGATCCCTTTTTATACTTTTTAGTTTAGTTGCTGTTGTAGCTTACTGTGACAATTAACCCTGTGTCCTCTCAGCTAAACCGACCCTGTATTCAACAATGATTAAATGTTAATGTTATTATTAAGAGAGATCCTGAGGGATTTTATTTAGTCAAACTATATTAAGTCTAAATTAAAGAAATGTGTTCTAGCTATATTTATGTTAATCAGTCTGCTATCTGGCATGATTTGATTGCTTGTAATATATCAAATGTAAACTTGTAAAATTATCCTTAGCTAATATGAGATTATATTTAAAGGTCAACTAGTTAGAATTAGCAAACATTTTCTATAAATATAGTTCAACCCTGGAAAAAAGACACACACACACTTTGTATAACATGACATTTGAATGCTTGATAGGAAATAATAAAAGGAATAAAAATATGAAATCCAACAATCCCTCTTTTGATCTCCCCATATTCATGGGAGATCACCCCTTTTTGGATTTGTCCATATGGAAGTGACCCAACTTACTGCAACCTTCCAGGGGTCCTGGACCAGACCCCTGGTTCAAACCCTTCAAAACCTGTAAAAAATACCAAATGCATAAACCTTTATAAAATACAAAAAACTACAACCCTCCTAGTAAGAGATAAATGTCCCACACTAAAATAAGTAAAACTCCACCCTAATACCAAAATTGACCTCTTTTTAAACCACCTTTAAAATACCTCGTGGGATTTTAGAATGATGACATGCCCAATTGAATGGAGTAAAATTTTGAATAGTTAAGAGTTTCCAATTGAATCCACGACCCTTCTCTGGTTATTTTTCAGAATGACTGAAAGGAAAGACTAGACACTCATATTAAACAGGAAAAGCCAACACCCTCAATTTAAACAGTACTATCTAGCAGGTCTTCGGTTCTTGAGCTTGCGGTGGGAGGCCTTGTTCGTCCACAAGGGTCCTTTGGTGCTCGGCGGGATTCGGCCCGCGGAGATATCTTCATGTAAAGTCCTCAGAACCTTTATCAGTCTGATTAAACATTCTAAATGACGTGTGTGCATTGACAAAACTAAATTCAGTTTGACGCGTCTTCTGTTCTTCACGGTCAGGGCTGGTAATCTTCTTCCTTACCCGATCCACCTGACTGACCGACTTAGGCAGAGCGGAGACTTCTTCTCCAATGTTTGCTACTGCCTTTTTCCAACCAGAACAAAGGGGCAAAGAATGAGCTCCCACGAAGGTCTTGTCACCTCCTCCAGGTGTAGTGGGGAGGTGATGTTCCAGCAGATCAGCCTCAATCAGGTCCAGCGATCGATTCCGCTCCTCTCCAGGGGTGCCCTGGTTGTGGTCGTAACAGGTGTCACTCTCATTCTGGAGACCGATGGCGTGTGATGTTCTCTTCACCACCTGGTGGCGTCCGGTCCCTCTTTTGAGCAGGACCCAGTCCGGTGTGATGGTCCGTAGTCAATCTCCTCAGTCAGAGATTCTCCCTCCTGATGAGAAAAGCTGGACACCAAAGCTTGCGAATTGTTAAACACCCTGCATGGCCTTTTGCTTATTTTATCTGTGGGATCCATGACCCATTTGTGGGCCTGGAAAAATGACTGTGGTTACTTCCTAGTGAGTAAAACCTGTTTCTTAATTATTGGACACCCTGATGGTCATTATTGCTACTGCTAGTGTGTACTCTTACACTGTAATGTTATAATAAAACAGAACTTCCATCCATCCATCCATTTTCTTCCGCTTATCCGGGGTCGGGTCGCGGGGGTAGCAGCCTAAGTAGGGAGGCCCAGACTTCCCTCTCCCCAGCCACTTGGGCCAGCTCTTCTGGGGGAAATCCAGAGGCGTTCCCAGGCCAGCCGAGAAACATAGTCCCTCCAGCGTGTCCTGGGTCTTCCTCTGGGCCTCCTTCCGGTGGGACGTGTCCGGAACACCTCACCAGGGAGGCATCCAGAAGGCATCCTAAACAGATGCCCAAGCCACCTCAACTGGCTCCTCTCGACATGGAGAAGCAGCGGCTCTACTCCGAGTCCCTCCCGGATGATCGAGCTTCTCACCCTGTCTCTAAGGGAGAGCCCAGACACCCTGCGGAGAAAACTCATTTCGGCCGCTTGTATCTGAGATCTCATTCTTTCGGTCACAACCCAAAGCTCGTGACCATAGATGAGGGTGGGAACGTAGATCGATCGGTAAATTGAGAGCTTCGCCTTTTGACTCAGCTCTCTCTTCACCACGACAGACCTGTACAGCGCCCGCTTCACTTCAGATGCTGCACCTATCCGCCTATCGATCTCACGCTCCATTTTTTCCCCTCATTCGTGAACAAGACCCCAAGATACTTGAACTCCTTCACTTGGGGTAGGACCTCCTCCCTGACCCGGAGAGGGCACTCTACCCTTTTCCGGCTTAAGACCATGGCCTCGGATTTGGAGGGACTGATCTTCATCCCGGCCGCATCGCATTCGGCTGCGAACCGCTCCAGCGAAAGCTGTAGATCACGATCTGATGAAGCCAATAAGACCACATCATCTGCAAAAAGCAGAGATGCAATCCTAAGGCCACCAAAAC